ACTATTGCAAATTTGGTATCTAGGATATTTAATGAGCCACATGATGTTCCAGGGATATCCATCCCCCTTAACGCAAAGGTTCCTGCTCTCCATCTGGATCAACAAACTGATGTTATTCAAGATGTTGAAACCATGGGTACGACCTCACGAAAGAATGATGATAAGGGTCAAACTTCTGAGAGTGATGCTGATAATGTGCAAGGTGATAACAATGATGATGATGATGTCCAGAAGGATGATGCTGATGTAGTGAACCTTGATGACTATTCAGACAATGATCTGATAGCCACGATCAACCCTAGCATAGCCAAAAGGCTAATGAATAGGAAAGGAAAGAAGGCAGCTGTTCAGAGTCCTCCCAAGAAGAGAGCTGTGTTAAAAAGTACTCATGTTGGCCCTACAAAAGCTTGGAGCAAGGTGGTTCCAAAGAAGAGGAAGGCTCAAATAAGTACTGAATCTGACTCAGACTCGGATGTTGCTTGTGATTTCACTGACATCCCACCAAAGAAGAAGCCAACAACTAGCAAACTTGCTGCTAGTGTTCCTGAAGTTCCTATTAACAATATCTCGTTTCATTATCCCTCAAGTGTCAACAGGTGGAAATATGTGTATCAGAAGAGGTTGGCATTGGAAAGAGAGTTGGCTCAGAATGCCCTTGAATGTAAGAAGATCATGAATCTTATTCATGTAGCTGGTTTAATGAGGACTATCACTCAGTTTTCTAAGTGCTATGAAATACTTGTGAAGGAGTTTATAGTGAACCTATCAGAAGACTGTGCTGATAGAAAATCAAATGAGTTTGGAAAAGTTTATGTAAGAGGAAAGTGTGTCACTTTCTCCTCAAGTGTCATCAATAACTATATAGGAAGATCAGATGAAGCTCAAACTAATCTAGCTTCTTCTGACAACAAAGTGTGCCAAGTTATAACTACCAACCAGGTCAAAGGCTGACCCTCAAAAGGGAAACTGGTTGCCAGTAAACTAAGTGTGAAGTATGCTATGCTGCATAAGATTGGAGCTGCCAACTGGGTGCCCACAAATCATAAATCAACTGCGGCCACTATCCTGGGGAAGTTCATTTATGCTGTTGGGACCAAAACAAAGTTTGACTATGGGACCTACATCTTTGATCAAACCATGAAGCATATAGGCAGTTACAGTGTAAAAGGACCCATTGCATTTCCATCACTTATTTGTGGGATCATATTAAATCAGTATCCCAATATCCTAAAAGACAATGAACCTGAGTGCAAGAGAGAAAGTCCCTTGTCTTTTCACCACAAGCTGTTTCAAGGAACTCATGTTCCTGGCATTGTCATGACTTCTGCTGAGACATCCAAGAAGAGTTCAAAAGCAGGGAAAGATGAAGTTATTGCTATGCTCAAGGAGACATGCAAAGAGTTGGAGACACGAAAGATGAATCTAGAAAGGTTGATCAGTTCTCTTAAGAAGAATGAAGATGCTGAGTTTAATGACACTGATGAGGATAAGCATGATGATGAGTCTGGGGAAGGTGATGACCAGGAAGCTGAATCAGAAGAAGCAACTGCCAGTTCTGAGAATGGCACTGATGAAGAAAGTGATAGTGATGATGCTGGCTCTGAGTCTGATGACTAGAGTTCATATTTTGTTTGATCCAAAACAAATTATTTTTGTGAACAAATTTTATGTGTTGTTGTGCTGTAATAACCCTTTAAATTTGTGTTTCCAACCTTGTTTGATCAATACTAAGTCTCTAGTTATGATCTAAATTTGTGGCTAAAAGGGGGGAGAAGTAGTTTTTTTGTGAGCAGGCTTAGTTGCGTTTAGTTGATGTCCCTCACAGGTGGAAGATGACTTTTGCTACTGTGCATATCTACACTAAGCAGATTTATAGGTGTGTTGTACATGTTTGCACTGAGCAGGTTTGCAGGTACGCTGATGATATGTTGTTGCTCTGAGTTGTGTTACAGGTGTGCTGATGTGCTGAAGTTGATATGTTGATGTGAGCAGGATGATGATCCTGTGTGTATTTGGCTATTGCTGTTGAGTTTGCTCTGAGTTGTGTTACAGGTGTGCAGATGTGCTGAAGTTGATATATTGTTGTGAGTAGGATGATGATCTTGTGCGTGTTTGGCTATTGCTATTGAGTGTGTGTGTGTGTGTATGTGTTCCTGGTTGAAACTTAGTAGTATCCTAGCTGTTGTTAGTAGGGTGTGTTTTTGCAGGTTGCTTGCAGGTTGTGTTTGGATGATTGGTGTGCATTAGTTGAGGGGGAGTATCACAGGATGTTCCACAAAATGTTGTGACATATGTAGTCTGGACTAGCAGGTGTTTTTTGTGTGTGCTGTGGAACAGGTGTTTTCAGGATGTCATCCTAGATGTCTTGACATCTATAATCCAGAACAGTCTGGATGATTGTGTGTGAACAGGTTGATCCTGATTGGTTGATTATTGACAGGAAGCTGATATTGTTAGTATGTGTAATTGGTAGTGTAGATGACTCTGATTTGGTAGTACAACATGTGTGTTGAGTGATAGTATTAGCTACTAGCTATCCTGCATGATTATATGTGTACTTTTCTATTGCATATGTTCTCTGATATGGTGACAAGTTGTTTTAGCCAAAAATTTGCCAAAGGGGGAGTTTGTAGATGTTCTTGATTGGCTGCATTTTATGGTAAAATATTGTTGTGTGTGTAGATGTCATGATTGATGTCATGACATGCTTGTGTAGTGCTCTGCAGAATAAGTTTGGTTAGCTAGAACAAAGTGTATTGGATGTCATACTGAATGTTATGACATCAGGTAGCTGACAGCAAGGGTGCGTGTTTGTTTTTCTGGTATAATGCATGAGTTAGCTCAGGCTAGATTTCAAGAAACTTTTTAGGGTTCCTTAATTATCTCAGGCGAGATCTAGACAGTGCTGAGCATAACATGAAATGCCTATAACCTAATTGAAGACACTCTGAATTATGGAAAGGGGTTTAACTTGGTTAAACCTAATTTATGTTTCTTAGGCCCAAGATCCGTGTGCTGCATATAAATAGAAGTGTGGCAGTCCTGATTGTACAGTTAGAGATTTTTAGAGATTGTGAGTGAAGAATTTTGTTTGTGTAATTTTTTCTTCACGTGTGCTTTGTGTCTTAGGATTACTTGTGAGCCAAACAGTTATTACCTAGATGATTGTATTGGATTAGTGTGTCCTTGAGTTGTATGTTGATTGTATCACTCTAAGCTTTTAAGCACGAGTGATGTGTCTCTTGATTGAAGTTGTGAAGCAAGATCAAGATTTGTTTGAAGTGTGTCTTCTTTTTAATCTGTAACTTAATTGGTTGATATCACTGCTGTGATTGAGGGGGAGTGAGTAGGAACTCAGGTCTAGTGTTAGGCTGAAGATGCATTAGGTAGGTCTTAAGTGAAGAGTGCAAACTGCTTGTTTGGATCTGAATTAACACTGCTTATAGTGAACTTCCTCCCTGACTTGGTATCCCCTAGAGTAGGTGTGATTTGCACCGAACTGGGTCAACAATTCCCTGTGTTATTTACTGCTTTCATTAACTGTTACTGTTAAGTTCTATAATTTGTTCACTAGCGGATGTCATAACATCCGTTATAACATCAACCGTCTATTACTAGAATTTCAAAACGAACCTTATAGGAGAAAATACAATATATTCTATCTCTTTAAATTTTTCTTTTATGATATGTGGTAATGCTTTGAGTTGTTATGTTAGAAATGAGAAATGCACCTCTATTTATAGGTGTTCATCTTTACAAAATCATGGGAGTTGCTACAAAATCATGGATGCAAAATCATGGGTGTTACTTTCTTGGTCCACAAATTATGACTTTATTCAACCACAATCCTTGATCCATTACCAAAATATTTGACTATGACCACAGTCTTTGACAACACCTTCTGTGCATGGAATGGTGAGGCCACCCATCAGATGATCATATCGAAACTCTTCCTCAGCTTTACACAACAAGTATTGAAACAAAGGTTGATTCAAGTATGATATTGAAATCACAAATCGCTTTAGTTTCTCTCCAACATACACACAGCAACATATCCTTTTGGCATGGCCATAGCTTTTCAAGATGATGCTCTTCTGATCATGCTTGGAAAACGAAAACCCATTGTTGTATGCATTTAAATTTGAAAAGAAGATAATTTTAAAAAGGCTTGTAAGCAAGGGAAAGTTTTTGATATTCTAATGCTTTAGGGTTTGAATGATTTGTGTTGGCTGTAAAATGCTTGTAGCTATTAATATATAGATAAATGAATGTTAAGAAACTATTGGCTACTTGAATGATTGGTGAAAACTATAGTATAAGATTAGGAGGATGAGATGAAAGAGTATACAAGGAGACAAGAGCATAGATAAGATCACATGGTATTGTCTTAGAGGTCTTTCCAAATCATCAAACAGTATAATAGACAATACACCAACATATCACACCATCACAAAGTTTAATTGACCTTCATACTTATTTATCAAGGCAGGGACCTCAATATGCTGTTCTGGAATGCAAATTTTACGGAGTTTGTATGGTCTTGCAAAAATATAAAATGTGGTTCATAATGGTTTGTGATCTTGTGTTCATTATTGGTTTTCTTCTTGCCTCCAAACACTGTTTCTGAGATGTTATCAATCAGGTCCTACACAGGTTGCACATAAATCTAACATATATTTAGCTGGTAGATGTATACTAGTTGCATTGTCAATTTGATGAATCATGTGATATGTCTAAAGCATGTCTAGCATTGAAATAGCTATGACAAAATGCAACAACAGACATCAGGTTTCTTTCACCATTTCATTGTCTTAAATTTCCTAATCCTTGAAAATGACCTATGTTAGACAACACCATGTGATTCCCTCTCCCTCAATAGGCCCTATTACAACTATATATAGACTACTCCTTGGTTTCACAAGCAACACAAGTCTTTTACAACCTAAAACATCACAACTCAATATCTATTTCTCATCCAATCTGATAACATAAAACAAACAATGGGTTTCCGCAGTATTATCAGTAGAACATCATTTTCCAGAACCCAAGGATCTACCAAGGGATTTGACGTCCCTAAAGGCTATCTCGCTGTCTATGTTGGAGAAAAAATGAGGCGGTTCGTGATTCCAATTTCATACTTGAATCAATCATTATTTCAAGAATTATTAAATGAAGCACAAGAAGAATTTGGATACAATCATCCAATGGGTGGCCTCACAATTCCATGCAGTGAAGATGAATTCCTAAATCTCACTTATGGCTTGAGCGAATTGTAGAACATGATGATGAAGAATCATATAGACTAGTTGAGGATAATCTGTAAAGAAGATATAGTTTTTTTGTATCATGAAGATTTTTCTTTTTTTTTTTCTCTTCGATGTATCATTCCTACGGAAATATTGTTTCCGGAATGAGAATGTTATGATCAAGACATTGCTGAAACACACATTTTTTTTCCGAATCTCAATGAAACAGTTTTAACCATTTGTTGCAAGATTCTTATATAACTTTTATTTCATACTTCCAGCATCACTAACTTTGAATAATTATTTTCATTGAATCTGGACTGTTCCATCTATATTGGTAAAGTTGTAACATTTAACTTGGTTTCCATTGCATTTTCTGTAGAAATTTTTAAAAAGAGTAACGAAATACTAAATTTTGAAAAGCTGCAAAAGAAATGTTGCGGTACTTCAAGAAACCAAGGATTACATGCTCTTACAAATCAACATCAGTACACATTTTTATTTATGATGGTTGATGAATCTATTTCATTAAAAAAAACTATTAAGAAAATTTTGGTTGCTACTTCTATAAGTGAAGTTTGTTTCAGAGTGTAGTTGATGCCATTGGTCTATTTGATGTTCCTCGCATGAGCTACATCATCATAATTGACCAGAAGATGAAAAACATTCCACACAAAGATGATTAAATAATAATATAAATTCAAATAGAAAAAAATAACTCGTGAATTACATAGTTAAAAGAAGTTCATATGAAACCAAATTTGATAGGGATTTAACTACTCGTATTTATTAAAACCTTTTTTTTCAAGTATTGTATAAAATAATGATGAACTCTGCACGAAGGTCTTTGGAAAGCACCTAGTGGTGGGAGGTGTACCTAAAAAAAAATATGACAATTAAATCAGCGACAACCTTAGGGCTAGAATTAGGGCTTTAGAATAATAAATATCGCGTTAAGAGTATTTTGATATAACAAAGTTACGAGATAAAGATTGAATTTTTTAAATAAACACAGAAAATTTTATTAGCTTTCACAAAAGAAAAGAAGAAAGAAAAATAATGGAGAATTGGTTAAAGAAGTTTTACTATTCATTTTCTTAATAAGGATTTAAAGATTACAAATAAATATCAACAATTAACATCTCTCTCACCCTAATTAGGATTTGCACCACCCTAGCATACTATTTATAAATAAATAAAAAAACTAACATACTAACCTAATGGACTTTTACACACATGCATATTACACAAGTTAACTTAGGGAACAAACTAAATTAAACAATTGGGCTTACAAGTAAGAACCAATTCAACATATTAACTTAAATAACAAGTTAATATATTTCGACAGCATGCTTGAACAAACCTAGACTACAACATGAATAATGTAACACCCCCTTTCTATACCCCAAAATAAACAAATAAATCATCTAGGCACGTATTAAAAATTTCATCAGAGTATAATTACAACATGGTATAAAAGAGGCACGTCACTTATCCATGAAATTAAAACACATACAACACCTGCTCATAAAGATATGCAACAATGGACAACTCACAACATAGGAACTTAGTCCTTAACCCACATTTCAATATTTAGAATAAAAGCGGAAACATCTAAACATTGAATCACTTCAATAAAATAATCATGAATACATCATGCGGTTTAAATCACTTTCGTCAGTCAAGTTTACAAAAACATTCAATATCCAGATACATATACAGTGTATCCCAAAAGAATCAAACAATTCCTAGCTACCCAGGTGTTACATATCAGAGCCATCTGACCAAAACAGGATTGAAGCCACGCTTCACAAAAGACCACCAACAACTAATCTGCAATGCCTCATAGAGCACCATAAAACAGCAGAAGGGTGAGAAACATTATCATAAAATCAATGCATATAATTATATATCTATACACATATTACACATTCTCACCTCAATTCAACACCATTCCTCATATACACCACTATGTATAAACAAACAAATATGGATAGTTACCAAGCACATTTATCATGCATACATCCATAATTTCAATCAAATCCATATAAGCATACACAATATATTTAATTCATCATTGATTCACATAAACATCTACGTTCATGTTTATTTCACCCATGCATTATATAAAGATGATAAATGCAACTCATAGAGACCGACTAACGATTCTATGCAGATGCAAATGTGGTACCGACTTATTCAGCAGGTTCAATTGAAGAACCAAATGTAACCATCGCTGGTTACCGAAATAACTCCCCGTCGGGCCTACGATGTTCACCCATTGCTCACACCCTGTAACATCCCCTTTCTATACCCCCAAATAAACATTTAAATCATTTAAGCACTTAATAGAAATTTTATCAGAGTATAATTATAACATGGTATAAAAGAGGCGCATCACATTATCCATAAAACGAAAACATAAATAACACCTGCTCATAGAGATATGTAACAAAAGGGATAAATCTCAACTAAAAACAAAGAATAACTCTTAAAACCCACATATCAATATTTAGAATAAAGCGGAAACATCTAAACATTGAATCTCTTCATTAACATAAGCATGTATACATCATTCAGATTAATTCACTTCAACAGTTATGGTTACAAAACATTCAACATCAGATACACACACAGATGTATCACAAAAGAATCAAAACAATTCCTAACTACCCAGTGTTACATATCAGAGCCATCTGACCAAAAAGAATGAAGACTCGCTTCACAAAAGACCTCCAGCATCCTACTCTGCAATGCCTCATAGAGCATTATAAAACAACAGAAGGGTGAGAAGCATTATCATAACCAATAATGCATAAAATTATATATATCATATACACAATTATAGAATACACAAAATTCACATTTGTCACCACAAATTATCACAATACATCACAATGTACACTCACATAATCAAGCATATTCACCAATTCATGCTTCACAATTCATGACATCTTACATAAACATTCACAATTATGTTCATTTCACCAAACATCATATAAAGATGATAAATGCAGCTCATAGAGACCGACTCACGACTCTATGCAGATGCAAATGCGGTACCGACTCGTTCAACAGGTTCAATTGAAGAACCAAAATGGAACCATCGCTCGTTACCGAAGTAACTCCCCATCGGGCCTACGATGTTCACCCATCGCTCACACCCCACACGGGCACACGATGTTTCTGGATTGCTCACACCCCACACGGGCACATAATCCGATTTTTCACACCCCACAAGGGCACATAATCGTTCTGCAGATTCTCCATGAAATCAAAAATAAACCATCACTCACACCCCACAAGGGCACACGATCATTTCTGCAGATCCTCCTAGAGATCAAAGTAACTAAACCATCGCTCACACCCCACAAGAGTACACGAGGTTTCTGCAGGTCCTACGCGGGATCAGACACACAAGAATGCAATCATGATGCTTCACATGCAAAACGACTCAATACATTCTTGAAATGCACACATGTTCACAAACATACTCATGCATTCATTTCATCATACAAGTACATACAATTATGCACATTAACATCAATAACACCACGCATTTCCATTTAATTTACACAAAATTGCCTAACAGCCACATTTCACATTCCACGATTCACAATTTAGGACTCACGCCATATGGCTACCTACAACACAACTTTCACAATATATAACCATACACAACAAGAAGGAATAATCGTACTAGAATCAGTGAAACAACATGGAAGTGAAAACACAAGAAAACAAAACACTGTTGCGCTCGCTATCTCGCTCGCTCAGCGAGCTCCTAGCGAGTGTTCTCTATCTGTTCGCCCAGTGAACAAGCTCGCGAAGGCAAACATAAGCCTCTGACTTGGTTCGCTACCCTGTTCGCCCATCGAAGGCCTAGCGAGTGTTCTCTATCCCATTCGCTACCAGCGAAGCTCCTCCAATCCATTATGCCCAAGGTCTGGGACCATTCGCTACAACATCGCTTAGCGAACATTTGCGACCAGCTCGCCTAGCGAACTTGCTAGCGAGTGTCTGCGAACTCATAAATTCTCATTGTTCCTCAACTCCAACAATCTTGGATTCACCCGATTAAATTCCAACTCGTTCCAGCAACTTAGCCTAACCTCACCCGACATAAATTATACCACTTATTCTCATTTTTACCAACAAAAACTCGGGTTTTATCGATTAAATCCATATTATGCCCTAGAGTGAAAAATGAGTAAAACTCTCCCCAATCCAAAACAAACCAACAAGAACATACATAATCATACACATTACAAGAATAATAAAGTTTCACACCCTTACCCGATCAATCGAAAGCTTAGAAGTTGATTATTGATGATTCTAGGGTTTTCCTCCTCTTCCTCCTCTTTTCTCTTCTCCTTCTTTCTTTCTCTTCTTTTTCTTTCCTTTTGGTTTCTATTCTCTCTATTCTTTCTCTTTTCCACTTATACTCTTTCTATTCTATCTCTCTCAAATTAACTACTAATCAAGGATTATCTAAAACACCCTCTAATTAATCCCCAAAACTCTCCAAATAATAAAATACTACAATATGCACACATAACATATCATCACATAATTCCACAATAAAATAACAATTAACCAAATAAATCAAAGACTCAACAAAAATAATGGGAAATTCAGAATCGGGGCGTTACAAACCCCACATGGGCACACAATGTTTATGGATTGCTCACACCCCACACGGGCACACAATCCGATTGCTCACACCCCACAAGGGCACACAATCGTTCTGCAGATTCTTAGCGGAATCAAATATAAACCATCGCATCATACGAGGTTTCTGCAGATCCTACAAGGGATCAAATATAAACCATCGCTCACACCCCACAAGGGCACTGAGGTTTCTGAAGATCCTACGCGGGATCAATCGACACAAGAATGCAATCATGATGCTTCACATGCAAAATGACTCACGACACTCTTAAAATGCATACATATTCGCAAATATTCAAATCATGCATTCTCAATATATATATATATATATATATCGCAATATACATAAATTCATCTTT